AGCATATGAGTATGGAATCCCTAACATTTGCCAAGCTCCACAACTGTATTGGTATAGGCCAAGGTCCACTCTTTGGTCTCCACGTGATATGTACACGCATATTCTTCCCCTTCCATAATTCTCACAGTACATTTACCTGTTGAAATGCATATGCTCCAACACTTTTGCCTCTATTTCTGGCGCAACACAATTACTCCACCTAGTCATTGCTGCATATGATTCATGCATTTTCCTTGCTACTTTCTCCCAGTGCTCATGGATCATTTCGGCCACGTTATGCTTCCTCTCCCTTACCATCCAAGCATTAAAAGATTCAGTTAAACTAGTTGTTATGTTGTTCCACCTTCTATATGGGAACTTGTTTAATGCCCACTTATCCACATCACCTTGATTGATAACTCAATCATATAACTCACGAGACATGGTTATGAGCTCATATAGGGCGTGATCAGACTCATCTGCAAGTCTTGCATAAGCCACTTTATCTAATGCATCTTCCTTTGAATTTTCACTTGTCCTTCTCCGACCTTTATTTAATTTCATATATTCAGAGCTAAAGTTCTCCTTGACATGCCTATAACAGTATGCATGTTTTTCACCCTCAAATATTGCTTGCAAAGCTCTAATTATGGAATTATGTCTGTCTGACACAATAGTCAATTGCATTGAACCAACTATTTGTTTAATCTTGTGAAAAAACCACGTCCAGTCCTCAAGATTCTCTCCCTTCACCACTGCTATTGCAAATGGCAACATCTCATTATCCGTATCATATGCCGAAGCTAACAGTAACATCCCCTTATATGGACCACTTAAATGGATACCATCAACATATAATGTAGGCCTTGCACCGTTCAAAAAAACCCTCAACACATGCACCATATACAATGAACACACACTCAAATCTATTACCATTGTAGGCCTATTCAGCAACCTTTTTGTTATCAGTTTCCTTCAATCTTTCACATAACCATGGTATTAACATATAGGACTATTCTGGTTTCCCATATATTTCTTCTATTGCCTTTTCCTTTGCTCTATAGGCCTGACAATATGTAAACCTCACACCATACTCCCTTTCCAACATCTTTCTTATCTCAGTGGGCCGTTTTTCAGCATAGTCCCTTAGCTCTTCAACTATTACTAATGATTTCAACACAGTACTTCCATCATAAGTCACAATCATATTGTCTTGTGCTGAATGAATGTGCTCATTACAAAATGTAGTCACACGTAATAAATGACTGTTCTTTCCAACAGCATTTGCACATATCTTCCAAGAATACCCTTCTACTTTACACCTCACATTCATCTTCTCCTTACTATTCCTGACATATCTTACTACAAACTTCTCTACAATACTGAACATGTACACAGCTTCCCTAAAGGCAACAACATGTGGAACATATTGGCCCACTCCTACAAACACTCCTGCCCATTTCATACAATTCATCTCACCCATCAGTGTTTCCTAACTCTCTAAACCACTACATTTGCTTCTTTGACTTGATCTACCCCCTTCAAAAGTCAGGCATTCAACTCCATTCTCAACATTCACTAGCTCATGTTCATCACCAATAGTCATTTCAAATGCATTCATATATTGTGAAAGTCCCAATAAATTCTCACTCCTGCCACCATAATACCAAGTTAGGACGCCTATATTTAAATGACAGGTTTGATTATCATAGCAACAACTATATTAATGAAAATGACAACTTCAGTTACGAATATAACTCGTTCACATGTAGCAATTACAACATTAGTAAGTGAAATGACAGCTCTAGATATGGAAACTCCTCCTTTATAAAATAACATGTCTGTATATCTAAATAACAAGTCCACATATGGTTATTACCACTTTAATAACCAAAATAACAAGTTTACATATACAAACTATTGGTTGCTAAAATAACAAGTCCACATGTGGTAATTACAACTTAAGTTACCCACATATCAAGTCTCTATACAGAAACTATTGGTTAGTAAAACAACGTCTACAGATCCAAATAATAAGTCCGTATATGATAATTACAACTTTAGTATATGAAATAACAAGTCTACATATGGAAACCACTACTTATGTCTAATAACAAGTTTGTATTTCTAAAAGACAAGTTTATAAGTGGAAATGACATGTCAACTATGTTGAATAACAAGTTTGCATTTACAAATTACAACTTAGGACTGCAACACCATTTGCTTGGTTACAACATTTCTGTACGCATTAGCAACAATATATTAGCAAATAACAAGATTCAATTCCAAAACAAAACCACTTACATGTCTGGATCATTCCTCACTCTAGGTTCCTTTTCATTCCCTTTCCCTCCTATATACATATGAGCACTGCTGTCATTATATCTAAACAAGTTGCAGATATCACCATCATCACAAAGATTAATCAATGTATTCTCATCAAATTTGACTTTATACTTAATCTCATATTTACTACCATCATTGCCTATCCATTGTGATATTATTCCACACAACTCGTCTACTGTTATCCATTCTTTTATACTGGTTACCCTTACACTCCCTCCAATATATTTAACTATCCCTTCACAATTTGCTTCAAAATGTCCACCAACGTGCACCTAACAGAACAATTCCTTCTCACAACTTCTTCCGTTATTGAAATTCATTTTTTATACTAATCTGTAGCAAAAATTTATGTTTAGTCAATAAATCAGCTTCACTAATAAATATTTACACATTTATGCCATCAACTCAATCATTTACATACCAAAATAAAAACCTGCGACCTCTTGTCTTCCCAACTTCACTTTAGGGCTTCACAACTTCACTCTAAGGCTTCACAATTTCAACACCCAAAATCACAACATCCTTATTTCCTGCTTCCGCGGCAACACCTGAACCTTTACACTCAAACTAACAGCTATTATCCCGCCCACACTCTGCTAAACCGCTATACTCCTAGCCCTTCCCTATTGCCACTAACACCATGCACTACAAATGAGAGATGGCCAATCACACTAAAAAAAATATATATATCCCACCTCCAACTAACCACAACCTTCTATATTGTGATATCTTTCATCTTCAACTACACCTCCCATTCCCTCCCTTCCTCCGGCCTACCCACCCACACAACAAAGATAAAGATGAAGAATATCACAATGCGCAACTCTTATAGGGAAGAATAGAAGAAGAGTTTAGTTAGTAAGTTACTCGCTTCATTGCCAATGTTGGAAGATCTTCCATCCCAATATCACACACATGTTGGGTCTTCCTTCTCTAGTAGCTCTCTCGCCACATAAAATTCCTTGTCTCTACCTTCATTAAGAGTCAGGATGGTTGAGGGCATTTCAGACATTTAACCCACATTTCATATTTCCAATTTGGGACCGGGTCCTCTGCAGCTATTTTTCAAATTCAAGGTCCCTAATTACTATTTTATAAATTGGGGGTCTTTATTTGTAATTTTTCCTATAAATTTTGAGGTTATTTTATGATATTTTTCCTAATTAATTGTGTTATTAGAGTTTTTGGTTGCAAAAAAGTAATTAATTATAGCCCCGACAATATACAATCATAAAGAAGCGCAAAGCATAAGGGTGGAAATAAGCCACACCCTTATTAGGCATCTTATGGCCTGACCAGGTTATTAACAAAGAAGCTAGGCTCAAGCTTTTTGAAAGGCCTACATGTTTAAACAATTTTGGCCTATTTTGTTAAGACCTGGCCTATAAGCCTACAAGCCTCACTTGTTTAAGTTTATTCTAATATATAAATGTTCAAATATTATTTAGTTAAGAAATATTTTAATTAATACGAGATAAGTTATTACCTATTAAACTGATTGTGTGTTTGGTACAACTGAAGGGAGAGATTTTGATGGAGGGGAAAGAAAAGGAGGGATTTTAATGTTACCTTGTTTAGTTTGCGAGGAGAGGAGAGAAATTTTTATCTAGACAACTTTACCCTTATTTTATTTTTATATGATAAAATATTTTGGGGTTAATATAATATTTGGTCTCTCACATTTGCTTTCATTTTGGTTTTAATTTATCAAATTTCAAACCATAGGTTTTGGTCCCTCTAGGGGTAAAATGGTCTAAGTTTTTAGTGAGTTATAAGGACCAATGTTTTAAATATAAAGAAACTTAAGAAATCAAAACCTATGATTTAAAACATGAGGGACCAAAACCAAAATGAAAACAAATTTGAGAGGCCAAAGTTTGTATTAGCCCAAATATTTTTGTATGCATTTTTCATATTTATATCAAAATTATTATTTTTTAAATTTCTAAATTTCAAAAACCTATTATCTCACTTATACATAACAAAGTAATTTTCATTGTATTTTAAAAGATGATTTTATTAATTTTAATCTGCCATCTCATTAATTTTAATATGCTTTTTAAAATATTTTATCTTCGAGATTGTAAAATTAGAAAATAGAGTTAAAAATAATTTTTGATGTTTATTGACCAGCAAATTCCATTACAAAGCATCAGGTATTTAAGTGCATGACTAACAAAACAAGTGACATGCAGGAGCACATTCTATGCTTATTGCACTGATGAGTACTCATTACATTTTGGACTATTCAAATTGATTAATTTTGGATGATTCAGATTAAATTTATATTTTTTATGGATTTTAATTAATTTTTTTAATAAATATATAATTCATAATAGTAATATTATAATTAACATGTTTTTAAAAAAAATAAAATTATTATTAAAAAAATTACATATTATAAATTTTAAATCTGAACTATTACACTGTGATAAATGTCGGGTGAGGGTCGTGGACAAACATATGGAAATGAATCGGACAAAGAAGAAAGAGTTTTAAGCACGGGCAAGTTTGTCACATTATTGAACAAAGGTCCCCTCCCCTCCCCTGCCCTTCTCTCAACCAAATGCCCTTTAACCCGACAATACATCGCAAAGAGGAGGCGAAGCGGATACATTTTTCTTCGTCCGCGAACCAGCATTCCACACGCAGCTGGACGCTGTCCTCCGTTGTCAGCCTTGTATGGTTGTTCTCGAGCAAGTGAGGAAGAAGGTTCGTAGCCCCGGCTTTGTCTACTCCCAAAATCCGGTGAGATTGATCTGTTCAAATCTGGCTCTGAATCTAGATTTCAATTTGTTCCTCGCGCCATTTGTTGCCTGCTTGGTTGTTTTTTATTTCATATTAATTTGGCTTTGAATCTGGTTGTCTCATGGTTTTAATATTGACACTTTTGAATTTGGGAATATCTACAGATTGAGTTTAGTTTTTTTTTCCCGCTACTAATGCTTGATTGAATGGCGTCTAATTGGGTCTTATACTTCTGCCATCTGCACTTTCATTTCTAGTGATTTGTTTGCTTTGGATTGTGTTGTTGTGCAATGTTGGGTTTGTTGTGTATTGGCATTATGTTGTGGTATTGTAAATGACTTGGCCCCAGTTGTGTCAAAGTATCTGGAACAAAAAGTAAAAGGGCATTATATCAACCATATATATTTAAAGATTTCAGTGTCGGCAGTTGGCGCTGCTGAGTGTAATATAGGTCTGCCTCCTTTTAGACTTCGTGTTCTTGGATTCCCATCCTTGTGTTCTTAATTTATTTTCGCTTGCTACAATTGCTAGCATTCATGCTCAAGTTTTCTCTCTTCCTATCTGCTATTTTTATTGAATATTAAGTGTTGTGTTTGCCTATAAATGACTTTGAACTAGATGTTTCTGAAATTTATTCAAATTAATCATTATTGGCTTGAATAAATGTGTATCTGAGTAGTATCATACTTCATACGGCTTATAGAGCACACTTTTTTTATTTTGATTTCTTAGGCATTGATATTAAAGGCTGTGTTGCTTGTAATCAAGGATCTTTTGGTTTAATGATTTGATTTTTGTCGATGGGGAACTAAACCAAATCAAACTTCAATCTCTGACTATCTTGGCAGACATGTTTTATTGGAGGCCGTGTCTTCTCTTTATCTGATTGTTAAACTCAAACAGCCAAATATTGGTATTTTGAATGATGAAGGAGAGCTTGTCATTGGAACAACCTGTTCGTTTTGTCCATTGCGGATGGGATGGTTGATGTTAAGGACGCCTTCTTCTATCTTTTATTTCATGATTATAGTGATGGGGGTGGAGTGGAATATTATCTGCTGGAGATTCAGTATGAATATGAATTTCACTATTATGAGCTTCTATTTGAAGTTGTATTCATGGGAGACAATTGACACCCTTGCCATTTTTGGGGTCCTCAATTTTTGTAAAAGGTAGATTGCTGTTATTATTTTTTTAATACTCCTTTATTTTTTGGTGCAATCAACTTTCTTCTTGTTTAACAGCATGCGTAATAGGTAGATTTTTGGTTGTTGGTTTATGCTGCCCTTTTAGATGTGGTGTGGGGGGAATTGAAGAAAGTGGAGTAGGATTTTACTCCTTTTTGCATTTTTCGGTGTTATTTTGACATTTGACAACTATACAATTTTACCTTTTGGAAAAGAAATATTTAGTTTTTGCATGCAGACCTTTGATATGGCTTTCATTATGATGTTGAAGATTTAGGGTGGCTTTCTATCATAAGTTAAAGTAACTTGGCTTGGTTGGATACTTGATGCAACACACACTCTCACACACTTACTCTAATGCAAACAGATGTGAATTTGGGGGAGAGTTATAGAAACAGAGAGGAGGAGATAGGGGAAGACAGAACAGTGATGATGGGGGAGGAGAGACAGAGCTTAAGAGGGGGCTTAAGCAGAGAAATGAAGGGGGGATAAGACTAGAAGGAGGGTGAATATGAAGAACTCAAGGAAGATAAAGAATAGCTAAGCCATTGTGAAATCTATTTCATTATCATCCACAACATGTGTCTACAAGTGACTACCTTAGGTTTTCTTAACCAAGAAGTAAGCCTACTTGTAGAAGTAAAACTGCTTGCACAAGTTGACATTTTTACACAAACTTACTCCCAATTATGCAGAAGGTTTCCTTGATCAAGGAAGAAACTTGCTAATAAAAAATATAACAAAAGTAAATTCATTTTTTCCTTATTTCTTGTCAATGCTTTTCTCTGGGGATTGTAATTATTTTTTCAATTCGTGTTCTTGGATTGTGTTATTTGCTGTGTGAAATAGTGACGTGGCTTGCTTCCTTTATTGACAAAAGAATGCTGTATACGCAGGAGAGCCTAGTGCTACAGTTAAGCAGCCGAATCTACTCAAATCATATCCTAATCGAATCCTAAAAATAAATAGGATCAGATTCTATTCCCCTAAACAAAAGTATAATACAATACAATCGGAGATGAATTGAATAAAGTGCACTTGACTAACTTATTTATATGGGCTGGGCTCATTAGGCCGGTGCCTCTCTAACACTCCCCCTCAAGCTAAGAATTGATATTCATCATTCCCAGCTTACCGGTTAAGTCTTCAAACTGGGTTGACCATTGATTTGTTGAGTATATGTGCTAATTGTTGTCTTGTAGGCATATACTTCACTTCCACAATTTTTTTCCATCTTCTCATTTATGAAATGGCAATTGATTTCAACATGCTTCATCCTATTATGGTGAATAAGATTCTTTAAAATTCTGATTGTTGCCATATTACCACATAAAGCCTTCATTTTTCAGTCATAACTCATATTTAACTCCTTCAAGAGTCTTTTAAACCACAAGCCTTCATATAAGCCTAGAGCTAAAGCTCTAAATTATGCTTCTGCACTACTGCAGGAGGCTACTGGTTGCTTCTTACTCTTCCAAGTAATCAAATCTCCTCATACAAATGTGCAATAACCTGTGGTGGATCATTTGTCCATGGTAGAACTTGCCCAAATGGTGTGGGCTTCCTTTCAGAAGTAGAGTCCCTTGCTAGGTGTAAATTTCAAGTATTGCAAAATCTTGAAAACTGCTGTGATGTGATCTTTATTTGTTTGTGAAAGTTTCTGAATAGTAATTCTCTGTATATTCACTTAGGATCTGATTACATGATATATAAGGGAAATAGGAATCAACCCAATTAATACAGATCTGATCCTATACCTCCTAATTAATACAGATTTGATTCTATTCCTCCTAAAATCATGGAACACTAATAATGACCAGATTTTTCTCTAATCTGACCGTTGCTATTTATTACAAAATATTCTCTGCAATAAAAACATAGGAAATTAGGTTAAGCATTTGGTTTTTGGGCCTTTAGGCAGCAGGCCCACTTTCCCACAGTCCCCCTCAAGTTGGCGAGTAGATGTTAATCATTCCTAGCTTGCTTCTGAAACCTTCAAATTTTTCTTGAGTTAGTGACTTTGTCATCACGTCTGCAATCTGATTTCTTGAGAGAATGTAAGCCAGATCAATCACCTTACCATCTATCTTTTCTTTATTGAAGTGACGATCGATTTCCACATGTTTTGTGCGATCATGATGCACTGGATTATTAGCAATCTTGATTGCTGACACACAATCACACCAAACTTTCATTGGAGTGTTAACCTCAATTTCAAGCTCTTTTAAGAGTCTCACAAGCCATATCCCCTCACAAATACCTAAGGCCAAGGCCTTATATCCTGATTCGGCTGAGCTCCTTGATACCACTGGTTGTTTCTTACTCCTCCAAGTAACTAAATTTCCCCACACATAAGAGCAATAACCAGTAGTAGACCGTCTATCTCTTTTTGATCCTGCCCAGTCGGCATCAGTGAATAGTTCAATTTCTTTAGATGTTCCCTTTGCAAAGAACAACCCTTGTCCTAGGGTCTTCTTCAGGTACCTCAGTATTCTGTAGACTGCTGTCATGTGTTCCTTTTGAGGACTATTTGAGAATTGGCTCACCACACTAACTAGAAAGCATATGTCAGGTCTTGTGTGGGATAGGTAAATAAGTTTCTCCACTAGCCTTTGATATCGCTCCTTGTTTACTACCTTTCCATCTGACTTGATTGTTAGCTTTTGGTTAAGCTCCATTGGAGTGTGAGCAGGTGAAGTTCCCAACATCCCTATTTCTTTTAGGAGGTCAAGTGTATACTTACGTTGTGATACACTTATCCCTTCATGAGTTCGCGCCACCTCTATGCCTAGAAAATACCTTAGTGGGCCAAGATCTTTGATTTCAAATTCTGTTGCCAAGTCTCTTTTTAGCTTTGTGATTTCTTGTTCATCATTCCCTGTCAAAACTATATCATCAACATAAACAATAAGTATAGTTATTTTTTCATGATGGTGTTTAACAAATAGGGTATCATCGGCTTGACATTGTTTATAGCCTAACCCTTTGATGGCTCGAGAGAACCTCTCAAACCAAGCCCTTGGAGACTATTTCAGCCCATACAAAGATTTGTGTAGCCTACACACCTTCCCAAAATTGTTTGAGTTTCTCATTCCCAAAGGAATCTCCATGTAAACTTCTTCTTCTAAGTCCCCATTAAGGAAAGCATTTTTAACATCAAGTTGGTGTAAAGACCAATCTAAATTTGCAGCAAGAGATAAGAGAACATTTATAGTATTAAGTTTAGCTACAGGGGTGAAAGTCTCTTGGTAATCTATGCCATAAGTTTGAGTAAGCCCTCTAGCAACCAAACGTGCCTTATATTTGTTTATACTTCCATTGGGGTTATATTTTACTGTAAATATCCATTTACTACTCACCATTGATTTATCTTTAGGAAGATTTGTAATTTTCCAAGTTCCATTCTTTTGTAAAGCTCTCAATTCTTCTTCAATAGCTTGTTTCCAATGTAGATCTGTAATAGCCTCATTAAAACTTTCTACATTTGCTACAAAAGTTTTTAGGTGGGGTGAGAGCTTACTGTATGAGACATGCTTACTGATAGGATGTTGAGTGCAACTCCTTTTTCCTTCTCTTAGGGCAATAGGCCAATGAAGTTCTTCAGAACCCATTTCAGGTGCAAAGTCATATTACTGCATGGATGTAGAGTCACGTTGCTGTTCTGTGGTATTAATAAGTTGGTTTTCCATAGTTTCAACCATAGGCTGGTCACAGAGAGAGTTTAGAGGCTCAAAAGGGTTTGTATCTTGATAGACAGATCTGTTTGGGGTAGTTTCGATGCTGTGTGTTGGGGTAGTTTTGATGCTGTGTGTTCATTATAAACAAAAGTAGTACACCCAAAAACCCTCTTGGGAAGAGAAGTTACAAGGGAAGAGTTTGGAAAAGTGTCAAGAAATTTTTGTAAAGGGGTCTGGAAGTGCAGTACTTGTGAAGGCATTCGATTTATCAAGTGAGCAGTGGTAAGTATAGCATCCCGCCAAAATTGGTTAGGAATATTGCCCCCTATCATAAGGGCTCTAGCAACTTCTAAAAGATGTCTGTTTTTTTCCTTCAAAAACTCTATTCTATTGGGGAGAACAGACATAGGAGGTCTGGTGATGAATGCCATTGGTGGTTAAAAATTTTTTAAAAGATGAATTTAAATATTCTTTCCCATTATCAGTGCAAAGAATTTTAATTGAAGTCTGGAATTGATTTTTGATAAAAGCATAAAAATTTTGAAAAACAAAAAACACTTCTGACTTGTTTGTAATTAGAAAAACCCAAGTCAATCTTGTATGATCATCTATAAAAGTTACAAACTAGCAGGCTTTAGAATTGGTTTCAAATTTAGATGGCCCCAAAACATCACTATGAATAAGGGAAAAAGGGTGAGAGGGGGTATAGGGTTGTGGAGGATAAGAGTGTCTAATTTGTTTTGCAAAATGGCATATTTCACAATGAAAATCAACAACAGATTTATTATTGATAGAAGGAAATAAAACTTGCATATAACTAGGACTGGGGTGGCCTAACCTAGAATGCCATAACATTATTTCATTAGTTGGCATAGTAGATGAAATAGAGCAAGAAATAGAAACTTTTAGTGAAGATCCTTGGATATAATAAAGTCCATTCCAGACTTTAGCAGCACCAATCATCTTCCCCAATGCCAAGTCCTGAAAAACACAACTAATATTATCAAAAGTAACAAGGCAATGCAATTGATCAGCAACTTGTTTTACTGACAACAGGCTGCACTTAATTTCAAGGATGTATAGGACATTTTTCAGTGTAATATGTTCAGAGATAATAACAGTTCCAGAACCTAGAACCTTGGAAAACTGCCCATTAGCAACCTCTACAATATTATGTTCAGAAAAAGGACTGAAATCAGAAAAGACCTCTTTAAATCGAGTGATATGATCAGTGGCACCGGAGTCAATTATCCATAAATTCTTAGATGGAGTCACACTACTAAGAGCATGAGTTAGGATAGTACCTAC